CAACGTCGACCTGCCGCAGCATGCACCGACACTGGCGTCGATGTGGCGGAATCGTCTGCGATGGCGGAGGCTCGACTTAACGCTGCAGCAGCTGCAGCATCAACATCGACAACACCAGCAGTAGCTGCAACTGCACCTGAAGCGGCTGACACTACAGAGAGCAGCGATGTGGACTCCGCAGAGATGGCGCCAGCGGGGAGGTACTTGCTGGACTGGCCGCCTCCCGATGGACTGAAGAGTACGATTGGGACGATATTGCATCCGACGATGATGATGTAGAGGCTTGGCACGCTGGAGATGAGGATGACGAGGAGTATTAGGTAGTGAATGATGTCTCTAATTTCTAACTGAAAGCCCTAGGACATGATCTAGGCCTTGCGCTACTTACTGGATGCTATTCTTGTAGGCAACAATGAGTAGGAATTCAAGCGTGTTGTAACGTTGCTGTAGTGATAGGATGCATATGGTTGAATATACAATTGTTTTAGTGTACTCCAAGTAATAAAAATAGGGGGGGGCGTTATGTAAAATTCGTCGCCTGAAAGGGGGTACTCTAAAAAATGCACCATATCATAAGCTCCCCCCGTATTAACCACCCATGGAGTGACTATTCCGGCGGGTGTTATATCCGGGGGATTACGGTACATCGCCTTCGTCGTACAACACGTAAATATTTCTGGTTCGCGATACAGCTCAGGTTTGTGGTGCGCATCGTATGGTGACCCTGTGAGGTAGGACATTTATACAAACAGTGTTTTAGGGCATTAAAAAAAAAACTAAAACCCGTAGGGCCCTCACATGCGACTCAGGGTGGCATCAACCCTAAAATTGCAAAAGAGTTGGGTGTTTAGGGTTGATGCCATCTCGAACGGAATTCGGTCCCAAGTGGGTTTCATGTTGTTGCCTTCTCGTTGATAAACGTTTACTAGTAAGTACTAAGAATAAAACAGAGTGTATTACAGGCTCGGAGGTGGACGGACCTTTTTTTGCTCACACCCCTGGCAGAGCGAGGACCCTTGCTGATCATTTCCCAATCGGAAGGCTGCCAATGGCTGCTGAACTCGCCACGTGGCAAGCATGCACTGAGACTGGGAGGTGAATTCGACCATTGTTATGACAGCCCCGCTTGTAATTACTACTAGCAACGTCAAAGGAGAGTGCCATTTTCATGTCACAGAAATCAAAGGTTCGTATCACTTGCAGAACCAACATGACACAACCCTCCATTTCATACATCATTTACATCTGGATCATAACGCATCTATTCCCACCACCAAATGCCTCGCCGGCTGGGCTTTGGCACGAAGGTCTTACCTTGGAGTTCCAAGTTGATCCATCTCTAAGAAAAAGCGTACTACCAAAAGTCTTCCCCAGCATACGCATGACATTCTCCATGCCCCTCAACTCCAGGCATCCTTCCACATTCACATCAACCATCACTTCCGCCAAACCCTGCAGAGTCTTCCACAATAAAAGCTCCCAATTGACATACCGCAACCCACACATCCCCGCAACGTCACCTCCTGTATTGCAAGCGGGCTGCTGCAGCCGTCACCACTCCCACCAGCAACCCCCACATTCCCCACACTTCCACTATCTTTTCCGACACTTTCCAGTCTCCTGCAGTTGGTGAGACGCAGGGACCTGAGTGCCGGCAGACAGAGGGCTTCAGGGGGGAGGGAGTCCACAGCATGGCAGGAGTGCATGTGAAGGGATGTGAGGGCGGAGAGGAGGTTGATGGTAGGCGGCAGGGCTTTCAAATGGCGGCAGTGGGAGAAGGAAAGGGCAGTCAGGCGAGTGAGAGAGGGGAGGAAAGAGGGAGGGAGAGCGGGGTCGGGGCACTGATCCAGGTGAAGTGAGAGGAGACGGGAATAAGCGGAAGAGAATGAGGAAGAGAGTGCAGTGAAAGAGAATGTGGGAGAAGGATGCATGGAAATGAGGGAGTCTATTTCTGTCTCCGCTTGAATGATGCGGAATCCTGAAATGCTCTGTTTGGTCGGAAGCACCACTCTGCTGCAAGACTGCTCCTTAAGAAAACCAAACTTGCTGCTTGAAGCTTGAATTCCACCAGACGCATCAGCTGCAGCAGCAATAGGAGTAGGGTAACCACCAGCGTGGCTCCGAATGTTACATCTGGTCGCATGGTTGGCTGAAAGGCTCAGTGACGTCAGCTCCTGTCTGAAGAGCGGAGCAAGCGCTGGAACCAAACCGTCACAACAAACGCCGAGTCTCACAGATTTGAGTCCAGCCCACAGAGACGGTGGGTTATGTTGGGGAAGAGAGGGTGACATTGAATGGAGAGCAGTAGTACTAGGCTGGTTTGGATTGTCAGAACGTTTACTTGAATGATGGGTGGAGATGCCAGGAAGGACGATGTGGTGAGACGACAACAATTGAAGCTGGATGAGGGAGGGAGGGAGGAAGCGTTGCAAGCTTGGCGAAGAATCTGTAGGAGAGTCAACCGTGAGATGATCAATCATCCTGGCCGAATCTGACTGGCCGTATTTCCGGTTGGGGGGTCATAAATCCGTCCAAGGACCAAGCAGCGGTCAGTTGTGATCTCCAAAACCTCCAGAGCAGGCAGCAGCGTGATAGAGGACGGAATCAAGAGCGCGGACTCGCTCCACGCCACGTCATCGTGATGATGACGAGGATGGCTCGAAGCGCTGCAAGTGGTTGTCAGTACGTTCGAGATCTTCCGCTTGGCGCTGACGTGGCCGAGATGAAACGACAGCCGTTTCAGCTGGGGGCACCCGGCGAACAGCGAATTCAGCCCGGACCTGGTAATCTCGTCGTCGCCTTCGCCATAGCACATGCAGGAGAGGTCCAGGATTTCGAGAACAGCGCAGGAGGAGGCTAGGGTTTTCAGAAACGCGTCGCCGAATGCTTGCTGGATGCTGGTGACCGTGAGTGACGTCAGCTGGGGGAACACGCGAACGGCCTTAAGAAAGCTCCCGTACGTGAGCCCATCGCCCTTGTACTCGTCACTGCACTCCCCGTCATTATCACTTTCGTCGGGAATGCAGGCAGGACCGAAAATGCCTCCGCTGGTACAATCCACATTAATGCGTAGAACAGTCCGCGCGACGGCGTCAGCCCACGATTTGCTCACCGTCGAGCACCTGACGAGATCGCGTACTCTCGAGATCCGTTCGAGAGCGAGCTCTAGTGCGAGCTCATTCCCGGCATCTGGAGGGACGTCCGACATGCTCAACAGCACTTCTCTCCGCGACACGGAACTTCTTCCGAAAGCTTATCTTCCAGAAACAGTAGATAGAGCAACCAGCCAACATCCAAGAAAGTAGAGACTACTGAGGATATGGTATTATAGCCAGCGCTATCGCTTCCGCAGATGAGCTCGAGTTTCTGTCGTCTTTCCGTCAAACCGGAAAGAACGACGAAGAAACCCCGCGCCGCTATGCGGAACGACGGAACGCCCGGCACCGCCATGCTCTCGAGGTCACAGTGTAAGAGGCTCACAGCCTCGAAGAGATAAATGATGACTCATCGGATTTCAGTCTTGCAGTTTTGGGGTGCAGCAGGAAGCCTTCAGAATAGGTGCAGCAACAGGTTTGGTTATAACGAGGATCTCTTTAGATGAGTGCGAGGAGAATTCCCATTCCCGATGTGTGTTGCTGATTTCTGACAGATTCAGGGGTGACATCATGCTGCAAGGGTCTAGCGCAATCGGAGGCCGTCGATTCGGTAAGCATGCACGGCAGCGATGAAGCAAACTACCTTCGAGAATTCGAATGCTTGGCTCGGCCACGCGAACCTCCCGAGATTCGCGCGCGGTGCGATGTGCGAGGGAGCGAGGGTTCTCTGACTGCAACCAGAGCACACTAGCAAAGTCGACTTTATATAGCGTATGCCACGTTAGCTGCTTAGCACATCAAGAGCCCTTACAATTTCGCAGTTTCACAAAGCACAGCAATTAGTGGTCAAATAGCTCCTAGATTTTCAACCCACTCCTCACAAGAGAACAAGTTCTTCGAGATGGAGACGCCACACATTAATATCTTGTACGCTTACATGGCAGTATGGAAAACATGGTCACTTGACCAAGCATCTAATAACGCCGAGAGAAGTCTCATCATTCTTCTTATCTTGGCTTTTGGACGGCCGTGCTGCAGTAGAATTCCAGGTACCTCCATCAGGCAGAGTGACTGTAGCACTCGTCTTCTCCAGCATGTGCATACCATGCTCAATGCCCCTCAAGCGGCACCCCTTCAGATTCACCTGAAGCATCACCTCCGACGAGTGCAGCAGAGTTCTCCACAGCAGTAGTCTCCAGTTGACATAGCGCAGATCACCACAACCAGAAAAAACACCCTCTTGTAGTGATAGTGGACTGCAGCAACCTTCGCTGCTGCCACCAGCAAGCCCTGCACTCTCCAGTCGCCTGCAGTTGGTTAGGCGCAGAGACCTGAGCGCAGGCAGACAAAGGGCTTCAGGGGGAACAGAGACTATTGCACTGCACCAATCCATGTGAAGGGATGCGAGGGTTTGCAAAGCGAAGCAGCTGGAAAATGAAAGTGCGGTCAGTCTGGTGAGCGAGGAAACGAGCGAGGGAGGAAGGGTGGTGTTTTTGCACTTCTCAAGGTGTAGAGAAAGTAGTCTAGAGTACGCTGGTGTAGGCATTGCAGGGAAGAAGAAAGTGAGAGAAGGGTCCATGAAAATAGGCCAGAAGTACTGCTGTGTCTCAGGCTGCACGTGGGCAATGTGAAACTCTGCAACGGTCAGCTGAGCAGGAAAAACCAGCTCATCAAACAACTGCTCATCGCCACTGCTGCTGGAAGAAATGCTCTGGCCAGACGCATCAGCTGCTGCACCACCATGTGAGGCATGACCACGAGTATGTGGACACTGCTGAATTCCACCATGGGACGTGAGGCGTAATGACGTCAGCTCCAGGTCGAAAAGGGATGCCAGCGCTGGGACCATGACGTCACAGCATACCCTGAGGCTCACAGACAGGCCGGAAGACATGGAGCTTGCTTGAGGAAAGGAGTTGCTGGTGGCATGAGAATTTATAGCAGACTGCTCCTGATTGTTGGAACGGCGGGAAGAGATGGGAAGGATGATGTGATCAGATGAGGACAAACGAAGGTCGATGAGGGAGGGAGGCAGGGAAGACCGCCAATCCGGCAGCGGAGGAGGAAGATTGGATATGGCCGGGTCAGTCTCTCCTGGTTCTTCAACAGCTTCAAACTGATGTCCGAGCACCAAGCAACGGTCCGTTTTTATCTCCAAAACCTCCAATTTCGATAGCAGCGTGATGGATGGCGGAATCCGGAGAGCTGAACCGCTGCACTGTACACGCCCCGACAAGGATAATATCCAGGTGGGGTTATTGCCGTCCGTACAGAACATTGCAGGAGGTTCAGCGACAGGCGTTCCAGGCGGGGACACCCAGTGGAAAGCGACTGGAGAGCGGAACTGGAAATATTGTTCTGACCGTTATCGTAGCGAGGACAGGACAGGTCCAGGGCTAGCAGAAACGGACAAGACGATCCCAGGGCTTCCAGAAAGGTGTCACCATGAGTCACGAAGAAGCTGTCAACGGTGAGTGACGTCAGCTGCCTGAAAACTCGGAAGGCCTGGAGAAGGTTTGCGTATGGCAGCGTCTCGCGCTCGTCGCGGCGATTCTCATCAGAGGCGGCAGGAATGCTGAAGCGGATAACTTGGTGATCAACCCGCATGCAAAGAATTCCACTGACAACGGCTTCGGCCCATCCTTTGCTAACAGCTGAACACCTGACAAGATCGCTGACTCTCGATACTCGTTCCAGGGCGAGCTTCACCGTAAGCTCACTCCCGGCATCTGCGGGGGAAGCTCACTCCCAACGAGATCTGAAGGAATGTCCACCATGCGACACGACACTGCTTCGCCTTCTCAAGAGGGTTCTCGTGGACCTCCGAGTTCTTCTCGCGAAACACAGAGTGCTCCCGCGCTGACTGACTGGTCTGGTAGTCCGTCTCAAGCTAACCAATGCCGGAACGCAGATAGTGGGGAAATAATCCATCTTATGGCGGAATCTTTCGCGAATGAACTACTCAGGCAAAGGTCGTCTGAAAACACTCCGGCGTCAAGAGCCCCCTGGAGGACAGCTTTCTACCACAACACTCAGCACAGTGCTTCCATGACTTCTGTGGCATGAAAAGCAGTTGAAGGCCCTCGCAAGCTCTACCAGCCCCGTGAATTACGTTGGTACTCCAACGATTCGCAGAGACGCTCAGACTGCCTGCGACTCGTCACTCGAGTCGTAGTAAGACTAGAAAGGCCGCTGCTAACACCTTCCTCATCCTCCCGCGCCGCCACGTACGCGCTAGCTCGGCATTCAAGAAAATGATCCGCCCTCGAAGCGCCTTTCACATACCTTTCTTCCGGCATGAAGTCACCGTGCTGTAAACTAGCCATCATGCCAAAAAGATCGAGCGGAGCGTCGCTTCGCTGCTGCATCAGCTTGTACTACGGTATAACTGTGCTGTGAAGAGTCCAGCTGGAGATAACTCCTCAAATTCCCTCTGCTGATTTGGCACTACTGTACAGCCAAATATGTTTCATGCTGTTCCGTAAGCAATCTAGAGCGGTTGGTTAGGGTTTTGAGGGAACGAACTTCTGACAAAAGGCAAGCGAGCCTCTGACAAAAGTACCCGTTAGGGGTGTATGTGTATCCAACAAATAAGGTGCTAACAAAAGCTCCCTACTTATGATATCTACTCAACGTATATACTAGCCTGTATGCCTAATCGTGCTACGAGGGCCACTGAGTGGGCGGGACGCAAGCATGAAGTCCAAATTCTGCAATGGAATATTCCAAAGGACGTAAGAGGCAGTCAACTCAAAACACAAGACCAAACAGAAAAAATGTGTAGGTACTCACAAGGTTTCATGTCGACCGCTGATGTCACACACTGGCACAATTCTCGTCACCCCCACTGTTGCTCACACTGCCATGGCCCTTGCCTTCATCTTGAAGATCAGGACGCCCCTTCGCAGCATTGCCACTCCCAGAACAACCAATACCATCCGCAATGGCTCCAGCACTCTTAGTTCTGCTTGCACCGGTGCTGGTGGTGGTTGCGCTACTGCGGATGCTGCTGCTGGTAACCAGAGCATCATCAACCATGCTGTAGGTGAAGGCCAGTGCACCCTCGCTCTCAGCCTTCCTAGAAGCAGCAGCTGCAGCACCAACAGCAGCAGTGGAGGGAGAGCAAGGAGAAGCAATCGAGCCGATGGAGTTAGCAGAGCAGACGGAGACAGACGACGCCGGCCGCTTGCCTTTGCCTGCAGCAGGGGGCGAAGGCTGCCTGCTGGGGGAACCACCAGACTTAGACCGCACAGGTGGGCCGGCAGACGAGCGGCCAAAGGCAGATCTCTGGGGTTGTGTGGCTGACTTCGTGCCACCAGGAGATTTTTGAGACGCCTCAGCGGCTTTCCGAGGTGACGTGGCCGTTCTTCCAGCAGCAGGGGGCGCTGCTGCCGGCCTTCCTAGTGCGCTTCTACTCAGTGGCGCAGGCTCTCGAGGTGATAGTGATGCCAACTGTCTCCCTGCAGAAGCAGAGGCAGAGTGGGCCTCAGAGGAGGAAGGCAGGGGGTTTTTGCCGTTGCTGCTGCTGTTGCTCTCACTCTTGATGCTGCTGCAACGGGTGGTGGCAATGTTGGTGCTGCTGCGGGTATTGTTGATGCTTCTGCTAATGCTGCTGACAATGGTTCCCTCCTTGGGCAAGGGCAGGGACATGCTCTTATCGAGTGTGACTGTAAGCGACCTTGCCACTCCAGAGGCCTTCCTCCTGGCGTTCAGCTGCCCCAGGGGGGAGTTGGGGCGGGGCCCAGCAGGCGGGGAGGGAACACGGGGGGGACTCCCTTTTCGTACCGGACTCCCCCCTCCTAGCATGCTCCCTTGAGCCCTCTCCACTCCTGACCTCCCTTCCCCTGCGTTCTCCTTCCCACGCCTCCCTCTCTCCTCTCCAGTCTCCATGCCCACTCTCCCCACAATCCCACCCGCCATTCCTCCTGCTGCTGCTCCTGATGCTGCTGCTGCGGCGGCCACAGCCCCTCCTCTACCTCCTCGCCCGGAAGAGCTTGGCTTCGGGCCTGCAGGGGGGGAAGGCGTTCTGGGTAAATTACCCTTGGGCTTTCCTCCCCCCTCCACCTCACCCACTCCGCCTCCTGCCACTCTTCCCCCGTTCCCCCTTAGAACCATCGCCCCCTCGTCCTTCCCTGAACCTCCCTCCACACCCCTGATCCCAACCTTCCCCTCTCCCTCTCCTCCACACACCACTATCTCTTCCTCCCTCATTACCACACTCTCCCCTACGACACTCCCCTCTCCCACCACACTCCCTTCCTTCTCCCACTCCTCCGCACCTGTCCTAGCCTGCCCCCCCCCATCCTCCTCATCCCCATCACTCCCACACACCTCCAGCCCCCCCACCTCATACCCCCTCCTCCCCATGCCCCCCCACACCCTACCCGGGGACCTATGGGGGGAAAGCGCTTGGAGAAGGGCGGAGGAGGGGGAGGGGGAGCACGGGCGGGAAGGGGGGGCAGGGGCGGAGTTGGGAGTGGGGGTGTGGATGCAAGGGGGGGAAATTGTGGCGGAAGGGGAAGGGGTGGGAGAGGGTTGAGAGGGGTTGGGAGGGGTGCGAGGCTTCCTGTAGGAGCCTGGTAGGTGGCAGACCTTCCCTGGCTGGCCAGAACTGGGCTTGGTGGTTCCTCCATCACTGCTATCTGCCTCCCCAGTCGTCCACTGATCCACGCCAGTTACAGGGTTACCACCTCTGCCGCCGCTGCTGCTGCGCACATGACTCCCAGCACCAGTGTCCTTAACTCCTTTTGCTTCCTCCCTACCACTCGTTTCAACTGTAGGGCTACTGTTACCACTCTTGCTAGCAGCAGCACCAATCCTACCACTAGCAGCACCAGAGCCACCACCCACAGCACTACTGGCGCTGCTACTCCTTCCCAGCAGCACCAGAGGCTTCCTAGACAGCGCTGCCTTTGCTGCTACCCGCGCTGCTGCCCCTCCTGCCGCCCCCCCTGCAGCCTTACTCCGGCTGACGGGAGGGGGTGAGCTGTTTCGAGGGGTGACAGGGGGACAGGGAACTAGCAGCTTCGGAACACCGCTGCTGCTGCTGCTGCTGCTGCTGCTGCTGCTGCTGCTGCTGCTGCTGCTGCTGCTGCTGCTGCTGCTGCTGCTGCTGCTGCTGCTGCTGCTGCTGCTGCTGCTGCTGCTGTTGCTGGTACAGCAGCCACGGCTATCATCACTTCGGCTCTTCCTGTCCCTTCCTTCTGCCTCCTTTACCCCTTGCTCGCTCTCCTCCTTAGCTCCAGGCACCCAGCATATGCGCTGTGCTAGGCCCGAGGGAGCAGGTGCCACCCGCCCAGTTCCCACCCTCCCAGGAGAGCCTGACCTCACGCTACCTGCACTTGTCTGGTTACCAGGTTTCGCCTGGTTACCACCTCCCAACTGGCTACTACCTGCCGTTGACTTATCACCAGCGCTTGAACCTCCTGCATCCTGCTCGTTCCTTGAGTTCCCTTCACCAGTTCCCCCCACCTCAGTTCCACCCTCCTCTGCTGCTTTGTCTTTGAATCTCACTCTCTTCTTCTCTGCACTGCTTGACCCATGCTGGCCCCCACTGTTGTCGGGCGAAGGGGCAGCAGCAGGGGTAGGGGGAGGGGCAGAGGCAGGAGCGAGGCTGGATAGAAGATGGGATTGGGCAGGGGAAGCGGATTGGGCAGGGGAAGCGGATTGGGCAGGGGAAGCGGATTGGGCAGGGGAAACGGATTGGGCAGGGGAAGCGGATTGGGCAGGGGAAGCGGATTGGGCAGGGGAAGCGGATTGGGCAGGGGAAGCGGATTGGGCAGGGGAAGCGGATTGGGCAGGGGAAGCGGATTGGGCAGGGGAAGCGGATTGGGCAGGAGGAGGGGCAGGAGCAGGCGGAGGAGCGGGGGAGAGGGGAGGGGCAGGGGCAGGGGCAGGGGCAGGCGGAGGAGCGGGGGAGGCGGAAGGGGCAGCGGCAGGGGCGAGGCTGGGTACAGGAGTAGGGGAAGGGGCAGAGGAAGGGGGAGAGATGGGGTATGCGGGCCAAAGAGACGGGGGAAGCGTCTTGCTGCCGCTCATGCCAGCGCACGGAGACTGCTCAGATAGAACCTGCCCAGATGAAACAGGCCCTGAGGGTAGCACCTGCCCCAGATGCACCTGGTCAGATACAACCTGCTCAGAAGGAACCTGCGCAGGTAGAGCCTGCCCCAGCTGCCCCTGCTGCTCGGATTCTGCTGCAGCTGCTGCAAGGAATGGATTGGTGGGGATGCCACTGGCGCAGGTGTCAGGTAACAGAACAGGGTAACCAGCAGCTTTGACTCCCACTTCGCCAAAATAACCAGCACCGTTTGCAGCATTGCGATCATTGCTTGGCATTGCTTCAAACAGATTCCCGCTGCATATAAACGGGTTAGTGATTGTAAAGGGGACGGACAGTCCCTCTACAGTGCTCCCGCCAGCAAACGGATTCGTACCAGCTGTGGCAGCCTGGTTACCCGGCTGTCTTGTTTCCATTCCACCACGTGTCAGGTCCCCTTCTGAGTCCTCCTGGATCTGCGCCCGAGCTTGCTTGTTGCTAGCGGCAGCGCGGGGGGAGGCGCGCAGAGGGAGGAAGCTGACGCTGGAGCTGACACCCAGGCCCTTCTGCTGCTCCTCTGCTGCCGTCTGCTTCAGCGCTGCCAGCAGCACGGATGCTACTGCTGCTGCTTCTGCTGCTGCTGCTGCTACTGGTGTCGTCCCTGCTCCTGCTGCTCCTGCTGCTGCTGCTGCTGCTGCTGCTGCTGCTGCTGCTGTTGGCGGCTGCGTAAATACTGTTCTTGCTGCTGGTGCGGTTGCTGCTCCTGCTGCTTCTTCTTCTGTTGCTGCTGTTGCTGAAGTCACATCTACCGCTGTTTCAACTGGCATGCTGGTTGCCTCTTCTTCTCCCTCCTCCTCCTCCACTACCTCATCCTCTTCCGTCCCTACACCACCCACTCCTCTCACTCTCCTTCTCACCACTTGCCCCACACTCCCCTCTTCCTGATTCCCCCCCACACTCCCCCCTCCATTTCCCCCTTCACCCATAGAATCGCTCCCCGTAGCTCCCCCTACCCGATTCCGCCCCCCGTTTCCGGCGATTCCCCCGCTAGCGCCTTTTGCCCGCGCTGCTGCAGCTGCTGCGCGCGCGCCTGCGGCGGACGCGCGCGAGGGGAGGCCGGGGGCGGGGCTGTGCGCGGCGGAGGAGGCGCGGGAGGGGGAGGATGCGCGGGAGGGGGAGCTCCGCAGGTGCACCCATTGCGCAAACGACACACACGAATCCTCTTGTACCGCGGATGGGGGCGGGGAAGGGCTCGCAGACGGGAGGGAGGGGGGAGAGTTGGCGGGTGACGGTCGACAGGCGCTCGCTACTTGCTCCTTTCGCTGCTTACCTCTAATACCTCCCCCACCTTCGTTACTATCACCTTCGGTATTGTCTGCCCCGGAGACTACTAGTCCGATCAGCCGCTGCTGCTGCTGCCACTGCCGCTGCCACTCCTGCTGCTGCCTCTCCCTCACTGCCTCCTCCGAGTCCTCCCTCTCCCCCTCCTCCTCCCCCTCTTCCTCCTCCTCCGCCTCCTCTCCCTCCACCTCCTCGTCGTTCCCCACTCTCTTTCCCCTCCCCTCCGCGTTCGGGTCTGTTGACACGTCGAACTGAAAACCTTCTGGGCCCATTTCCTCCACTTCGCCCCTCTCCCCTTCATCCCCCTCGCCCTCCCCTTCCCCCTCTCCCTCGCGCTCTCCTCCTTCCGTCTCCCCATCCTCCTTTCCGTCCTCACCCTCAGAGGAACAGTCTTCATGACTGCCATCCTCCACCTCTCCTTCAGGCTCCTCTTCTGCCTCCTCCCCCTCCCCCTCCTCCCCCTCCTCCTCCTCCTCCTCCTCCTCCCCCTCCTCCTCCTCCTCCCCCTCCTCCTCCTCTTCCCCATCCGCCTGCTCCCCCTCCTCCTCCTCCCCACCTCCCATCATCTCTCCCACTTCAGCACCGCTCTCCTCCACACTCTCCTCGTCTATTCCTTCCACGTCATCCTCGTCCACGTCATCCCCGTGCGTCTCGTTCTCCCGCAGCCACGTGTCCACAGCTGCTCTGGCCGCAAGATTCGACGCTGAAACAGCGGCACCACCACCATTACCGCCACTATTCTCACCACTATCACCACCGCTATTACCACCACTATTACCACCACCTTCGGTCGTCTTCACGCCGCAATCATGCTCCCTAACCTCCTCACCCCGCTCCACAGGCTCACCCCGCTCCTTATACTGCTCGCTGGTCGTCAGCTCTGCGCCGAACCCACTCCCCCTGTGCTCCGCGCAACCGTTTTCCGCCTTCCCCTTCCGCCGCTTTCCACCATTCCCCTTCCCCGCGCCTAGTTTTGCCTTTCCCCACGACAGCCACCTGAGCAGTCCCCGACCGCCACCAGGACCGCCGCCCTGCTTCGACTCCCTATCGACCTTACCACGATCACCGTCGCCGCCTCCTGTCACGGCTGTAGCACTCACAGCCGTCCCTGCTACAGCCGTCCCTACTACAGCTGTTTCTACGCCTGCCGCTACAACTACAACCGCTTCGGCGCCTTGTCTTGTGTTCGAATTGCACTCGCCGCCGCCTGGGTCTGACACTGTTCTGGCCAGGGACTTCTTGGTACTCGCTTGCACGTGGGCATGCGGATGACGCGGTCTGGGCGCTCCATCATGCGACATGCATCCGGGCACGAGCGGCTTTGCCGCTGCTGCTTCAGGTGATTCTTCAGGTGTTTCTTCAGGTGCTGATGAGATGGGCTGCTCCCTAATCGCGTGATATTCCGCGATTGCGGCCGCCGCAGCCGCAGCAAGCGGGGAGGACGCAAGGGAGCGGGACCCATCCACGTGTTTCCCACGTGTGCCCACGTGGCTTGCAGAATCAGCGTCTGAAGCCGCTGCCGCGCGTGCAGTGCTCGTACCCGCACTGGAGAAAGCACCGGTGCTGCTGGTGGAAACGGAGGGATGGCTGAAGGCAGGGACGGTGCTGCAGGGGTACGGGGGAACATCACTGTTGTCAAAAGCAGCGCTGGGATCATATGTGTCGCGCCCAGTAGTGACAGACGTAGCTACCGAAGCAGAGCAGGTTCGGTGCCACCTCACGCCAAGGCCGCGCCGCAGCGGGAGCATTGGCAGTTCAGGCGACCCGAGCCACGACCGGAGCCTTGGCGAGCCCAAGCCTCGGCGGTGAGGTTCGGCATGCGCTGCAGCAGGAGGAGCAGCACCAGCAGCACCAGCACCAGCAGCAGGCGCAGGCACAGGAGCAGCAGAAGCAGCAGTGCCGTTGCGATCCATCTGCTCCGCCGCACGACTCTCGCCACCACCAGCACCAGCACCAGCACCAGCACCAGCACCATCGTGCCTTCTATTCCACCTTGGAGACACCATTCCGCGAACCCTGCTCAACCCCCGCGACCAAGGAGACGATCGTCCCTGTGGGACCTCCCACTTAGACTCCAGCCCGTTCCTCTCGCCACCGATCCCGCCATAGTCACCCCCTGCAACAGTGAATTTCACGTCACCGCCGCCGCCGCCGCCGCCGCTGGTGTTGCGGCTGCGGAAACGCAAGGGAGAGGCGTTGGCATGGCCTCTGGAGAAGAACCTAAAGCCGAGGCCTGGCGAGAGGCGCGAAGCGGCGCTGGAACCCGAGGGGGTGCCGGGGGTAGCACGGGACGGCTTTTGAGGCCCCTCGGCGAGTGGGGCGGGTAGGCGGAAGGAGTCGGAGGAGGCGGAACGCACGAGTCGTGGGCGCGCTGGATTCGCCGCTGAGTTTGCATTCGCAGGTGCTGCGGCATTCTCCGCTGGATTCTCCGCTGGATACGCATTCGCTGCGGAATTCGCCGCTGGATTCGCAGGTGCGGAGGCAGCGGGATTTGCGGTGCCCGCGAGATTCGCGGGGTCCGCGCGTTCATGGGGCTTGTCTGCCGGGCCGCTGATAATCTGAGGGGCGGGGAGAGATGGTGTCACGTGACTGCTGATGAGCGCGTGCGAGGGCTCCTGAAAAGGCACCTGACAAGGCACCTGATGATTTTCCGGGGGAGCCACTTGAGAAGCTTCGCAGGATGCTGCGTTCGCGTCGCCAGGAAAATCGTCACGGGAAGCCGTCATTGGCTGCGGGCTTTCCGGCGGCGGATGCGGCGGCTGAAGACCGGCCGGAGCGGGATCTGGGGGTAACGTCGAGGACGCGGTCCGGTTCAGAGGGAGAGCTTTAAGTTGCGAGGGATCTCCGGGACTTGTAGGAACTAATGTGTCGAGAGGGGGAGGAGGTGCTAAAGGGGGAAGCGGAGGCATAGGGGAGGAGGAAGGGGAAGGGGAGAGGGAAGGAGATGGGGAGATGCTGAAGGCAAGCGACGGCGAGTCTTCGTATAGGATCAGCGGGGTCAGATTTGCCGGCCTGTGCGGCTGTGGCGTCGCCGGGATCTCGGCGATGCCGTCACCGTCGCCTGCGACGACTCGTGCGACTTCTGCGACGGTTTCCTCCACGTCGCCGACACACGTACCCGTTACACTACCACCCGTCGGCTGCAGAGACTGCATCTGCTGGTTCGCTCTTTCTGCGTCGACCTTGGAGTCTAAGGCGGACTGATCCACGTTGCGTCTGGTACAAGGATCAACCCCGACTTTGATCCTTACTCCGGTAATCCCTAGAGTTTCCTGCAGGGTTTCCTGCCGAGGCTGAGCGTACGCTGATCCGTTCAGCTCCAGGAGCACCCCTCCATCCTCTCTCGCTCCACCGCTTCCTTCTCCAACGCGAAAGTTTTCAGTCCGATTCGGTCCGTTCTCCCCGTAGCCGTCCCCGCCGTCGCTCACGCAGTTTCTTCGATTCTCGTTCGTCTCCTTCGTTCTTCCGCCGTTTCCATACTTGGAAGCAGAACTCCGGCTGAATGGATCATCCATAGCCGCTGATGCCGCTGATGCCGCTGATGCCGCTGATACGGCTGACGCGTTTCTGTTCCACTCACGGTTTTCTCCGCCGTTGCTGTTCTCCTTCTCCGATCCGCTCTTCATTTCCTCCCGTGCGTTTCGACCAGCGGTGAGGATCCCCTTCCTAGGGCTTGCTACACCTCCGCGTGAGTCTTTCAGAGGACTGAAAGAGGAAAGAAAGGTCGTGGTTTCACTACTGGCGATTTCCCTGACTGGAAGGTGGAGTTCGGCATTGCTGCTGATCGCTTAGGCTAGCAGAAAGCCTCAGCAAGGATGACGCTGGGAATGCCATATTCGCAAGTTACGAACAGAACAACGTCATGATATTCGACCTGGGTAAAGCTCTTCGCTACGATGCACAAACCTGGAAACTATGGCGTCTGTCTTGTCTGAAATGCTTTCAGTTCCTTGGAAACTACTCCCCTGCTCCTGTAGCTGATATGAGAACAAATGACGAGATTTCTCTGCTCTAAGACTTCCCTCGAAACCAGAATGCTTCAGACAGGGACCGAGCCGCGCTGGTTGTGGGAGTTCCCCTTGTCATGGCGGGGAACCACCCTTGGGGTTGTCATCGCTGGCTTGGCGAACAAAGCCAGCTTGCTCCCCAGTTTGGACCTGGCTCGGATCTGGTTAGGGAGGTTTGGTCTGAGGGACACGGCGGCTTGGAACAAGCCAGAAGTTTGGTTTTCCAAAATTCCTGGCTGAAGCACACAGCGTGGTTGGGTTTGGCTTGGTTTGATAGTCTCGCCAGCGAGGGGGAAACGGCCACAGCTGGAACCGCGTGTCAGACGGCGGTGACTTTGAGGACCTCCCGCCCATTTTCGAAACTGCCTGATCAGAGACGGTGTGTCGGCGGGAGCACCCACAAGAACACTCAAGTGCACGTGTTGGATACAAAACCTCTTCATCTATTGTCTCCTACACCCCATTACCAAGGTTTTGAATAGCTTATGCTTCCAATAGAAGTGTTTGATCCACCATGTCTTCCCACTACCAATACTAATAATATGGGATGTGAGAAACCGTTTATAATTTTAATTTATCGTGTTTAAAAGGAAATTGGAAGTTTAGAAACAATATCTAAATTTCAGGCATTCTACATGTTGCAAGCCGAGTATTTAGCTTTGTGTTTGTTTTTTGTCTAAATGGTATGTGTAGTTGCAGATTGTAGTGGGGGTTGAGGCATACTCGTTATGCAGGCAAACAGATTCGCAGGAGCTTCTTCGAAGGCAAACGTTAGCTTCTGCGAACTCTGCGACCTGTGCGATCTGCGCGAATTTCATGTTTCTGCGACCTTCACGTGTTAATGATGCAATCCGACGTATGAATCGCACGTGAGTGACTGTGTACGACGTATGCGACCAATCACGTTGATCGTGAGCCACGCGGTTGATTATTGCATCAAGGGTTCTGCCAGTCAGCCAAGCAGTTGACGACGACACGCTTCCAGGTTCGCAGTTCCAGCTTTTCGAATGAATCGTAGCTGGCTCATGAACAGTAAACTTTACCATTCAGGGAGGTTCCTTCCACTCAGCTGTTCTCCTCTCCTCTCGCCTGAATGCTCGGCTCTGCTGCTGCTGCTGCTGCTGCTGGTGCTGCCCCACCTAGTCTCCACAGGTCCACACCACAACTCACGCCCTCTTCACACACCCCTACTTCCGCCACACTATAAGACCAGTCAGTCTATACCACTCAGTATCCCCATAGCTGTCTTACCGTGTGTAACGCTGAAGTCGATCTACCATTCTCGCTCCTCATTCTCCCTTCACTTCATTTCTCTCATTAATTTTTATCGCACAGCCTAAACTCAGAAACCAGGATGGCGGTCATTTTCCAGTCCATGTCTCCGTCGTTGACCAGCATGCAGCCAATCACCCAGCCATGCCTCCCGCGGAAAAACGCTGGCTCAGATGACCTTAGCTCGTTCGAGCAACGGCTTCACTCGTGCCACCGGCTTGCAACAAGAACTAGTACTGACACCACACTCTTAGAAAACGCAGCCGGATTCTCAGTCGTCGAGTCAACTGGTTTTGGGTGTAGTAGTCCTGCGGAAAGCGCAGCTGTACAAAGAGCCTTAGCTGACGTCAGCGCGGGATTAGTGGCTGGTCAGGTTCCTGAGCTAACCCCTGATGGTTCTGGCGGTACTTATATGCTTCGCGATGCGATCGGCGAGTCACGCATTGCGGTTTTTAAGCCCATGGATGAGGAGCCACTAGCTTGGAACTGCCCTCGCGGGATGTCGCCGAGCGAAACGGGCGAAGGATTGAAGCGTGGAACTCGCGTTGGCGAAGGCGCGTTTCGCGAAGTTGCGGCATACATTCTGGACCACCCTCTTCGCGAAGGCGATGCAGAGGGTTTCGCAGGAGTGCCGCGAACCGCATTGGTTACCTGCGATTCGAAATTCTTCCCCACTTCATTGGGATCTCCGGTTTCGATCTTGGGCGGCCTGGCTACTGCTGAGTTCAATTCACGAAAGGTTGGATCGCTGCAGCAATTCGTCCCCGCTATAAGCAACTGCGAGGATATGGGCCCGTCTCGGTTCGCTGCTTCGGAGGTTCACAAAATTGCGACCCTAGATATGCGGCTGGCGAACACGGATAGAAACGGAGCCAACATTCTGGTGAAAAGCAACGGCTCGGATTTGAAGCTGGTTCCGATCGACCACGGATACTGTCTTCCGGAATCGCTGGAAGAATGTACATTCGAGTGGCTCTACTGGCCTCAAGCGAAGCAGCCGCTAAGCGAGGAAGCTCGGGATTACGTCGCGAAACTCGACGCCGAAGCTGACCTGGCGCTTTTAGAAGCGGCTGGGTGGGCCGTCAACGAAGCATGCGCACGCGTCATTCGCGCATCTACGCGTCTGCTGAAAAAAGGGGTGGCTGCGGGTCGAACCGTTTTCGAGATTGGCTCCATGATGGTTCGCGATGATCCCGACGTCCCGTCCTCGTTAGAAGACATGCTGGCAAGTGCGGAAGAGAAGGCGCTAAGCGGAGCAGCAGAGGGGGGTGTGATTACCTGTCTGGGCGAAATTCTTGACCTCTACTTGAAGTCTACAGAAGGCCAATCAGAGTGAAAGGGTGGCTACAGCCACAACGCTTTGCTGCCCACACCGTCTCTATACAGGAGCAGGCCGTAAAGATGGCCATGCCTTGCTTTTAGTCCCAATGGGCTATGTCCATACTACTCATCCATGGTTTGATACTGACCAGCCGAAGGGGACCAGCTTAAGGCTCCACTCCAGACTCCTTACTGTTGAAGTATACTTACTAGCTTCTACTGGTAGGCTGCCATAACCTATTGCTGGCAACTGTTATTGCTGGGTTGCTGAGTTTCAGTTGTTTGGGATAAGCAGCTCCCCTGTACCTCAATGTGGCAACCATAATATGACAGTTTTTGTTATACAAACAACAGATAAGGACAGATTCCTACCAAGTTGGATCCAGCGAAGTTGGATCCAGCGAAGTTGGATCCAGCACGCGTGGTACAGTGCAGTGCATTTGTAGAAAATGTGCAATCAGTGAGTTCCGTTCGGCAGTGCGCGAAAGTGGATCCCACTTTGTAGGAATCCGCCCTAAGAGTGAATATATACAACGCGTCAAGGGCTCATGGAGGCCCACTGTATTGCAGCCAGGCCTCTGGATAGGATTAGAAGTACTCTTTCTTGTAAGGGTACTCGCTTGCTGCCACTTTTTCTGTAAGGGTATATTTAAAAGCTACTTTGTAATATAAGGGTCCTAAATATTTGTACTTTTTCACATAAGGGTATAACTCCAGCGCAGCCTTACACTTTACTGTAGGTACAGGATCTCGCGTGATCAGACGACTGACGTGTTGCAGATTTGTGACGACGTGCCTTGGGTGGCACTCGACAGGGTGCACCAAGATTTTTGTTTTTGTTTGTTAGCGCTGAAGTGGGGGGAATGTCGCACCTCGGTAATTTTGCTGTTAGTGCGTATTTCTACATTAGTGCTTTCAGTACCAGAGAACCAAACTTCGCGAAGTACCAAATCGAACCGAACAGGAATTCGCGTTTTGACCCTCGGACCTCACCGTTTCGCGTTTCAGAGTCCATTCCGGGTTTGCTGGTAGTGATTACTGTCTTGTAGAAATACGACCTCATTCCCTAGACCCTTCCTGGTCGCGACCTCATTTCCCGTTGGTGCCGCACTCGTTTTTTGTTTGTTTTTTTTGTTTTTTTTTGTTTTTTGTTTTTTTTTTGTTCTTTCATTTCTTTAGCTAATGTAGTGGCCGATACGACTCTACCAACACGAATTATACATTCAAGTCGGCAAGTTTTGTAACCGTGCGCATGAATTCTTGGGTGAGTGGCAGCAAAAAAAACGTAAACCATTAGCAGAAGAAATTGACGACTTGAATCCCCGTCGTGCGCGGGCAGGGGCCAGGTAAAAACCCGTGGAAACTTCAATTCAAGTCGCCGAGATTCCCTCGCCGAAGTGGGTAGGGGGGAAGAGAAAATTTGACATATCACGTCCAGGGCTTTGTTTTCGTTTCAGGCTACCCTGTAATTTCAAAGTAGTTATTCCCCCGAGTCTGACTGGAACACACTTGGAACTGGGGGACTTAGCCGAATCCTCCGGGTTGCGAAGGTACTACAGCGGCTTTGTCTCTGCGAGTGGGGGACTTCACCAATTTTTCGGGGTCGCTCGAGGGCTGTGGGAGGAATGCCTTAGGCAGTGGGGGACTTAGCCGAAATCTTGGGTTGCGGGGGGTATAGGAGGAATGACTCTCGGATTGGGGGGACTTAGCCGAAATCTACAGGTTGCCAAGGGGATAAAATATTTCAGGGGGGGATCGCATGTGTGATTGTGTAAGGGTGATTTTACACAACACTTTTCCGCATCAGGGTCCCTACACTCGACCACTTTGAAAAAACAGGGTCCCGTATAGATCTAGTTTTTTTCATAAGGGTCAAAAACTAAACCACTTTTAAAAATAAGGGTCCAACAGCTACCCCACCCTTATTATAAGGGCCGTAAGGGTATTTTACCCTGATATCCTGAGGCCTGATTGCAGCTAGCCAACACTTTCTTTACCCATCTGCTGGCAGGGGCACATCCTGCTAGCCTGCACACGCCATGCCAGCCTCACGGCTGCATTGCCTCCACACGTACCAAGTAGACAAAAGTCAACTCAAGTCATGTAGCATTATCCGCTGGCAGAGGCACGTCTTGCCAGCCAGCACACGCCACAACGACCTCGCAGCTGCACTGCCTCCACAGCGACCAATCACAGCTGTACACATGTCCAGGGTCAAACACCCCCTCCCTCTCCTGCTCCTTGCCCTCTGCCCCACTAGGAAACGTATCCCCTTCAGAGCGCAGGCTTCCTGCGGCAGGGGCTGGCCTGTCAGGCGCCTGGAGGGAGGAATGGGGGGAGAATACGGCAAGTTTGAAACGAGAACATGTTGGAG